GGAAGGAGGAGGGTGAGTGTTGAGGGGAGGGACCGGACGTTTCCCGCGTCAGGGGAGGCCGCGGTGTCTCGGTGGGACCTGGGCTGGGCTGCGAGCGTGTGGCCGGGCGGGAGAAGCAGCAGGAGCGTCGTATTTTGTATTCAGATGATGCATTTTTTGTATTCAGATGTATTTTACCCACTTTGGCATCCCGCTGAATCACGTCATGCTTTGCACAGTGCCACTTCGTGCCTGTGTGTATATAAGCGCCACAGAAAATTCTCAAAAATTCAAAAATTCCTTCAAGGTTAAGCGTTTTAAAATTCTTAAATATGCGTTTGCTGTTGGAATAGTTGCGTTTGATCATGCATGCTGCCGCCGGTCGCTGCAGCACAGACAGGGAGGTGGGGTTTTCTGTGCACGTTGGTTTCCCTCTGTGTAGCGTATGTGTGCATTTCCCCGTCCTGCAGTAACTGCCCACGCGTTTTATTTTCATGTTTTTAATGTTGAAAATCAGATACTACAGCTTTTAGGATATGTTCAGTTTGCAAAGGATGCTGATTTTTCTGTCTCACACCAAGCCAGGTACCTGTCTTTATCTTTTTTTTTAATTTCTTTTTTTTTTAAATAAAAGTGCAATCAGATTGTAATGAAGGAGATTATTATGTTTCAAAGGAGTTTAGTGATATATTTGATTTTGCCCAAAATTGAATGCTTTTTGGAAGTCTTGCCCACATTTGGCTTCTGCGCGATGGGCGTTGGTAGATCTTGATGTTTCAATGCCCTGGGCTGTGAATGTGCAAGGCTGCCTGACTCTCAACTGCTTCTGAGGCTCACCTGTGAAGCAGAATGGATTGTGGCATGGATGTGTTTGATCCCCCTTTGTTTTTTGTAGAGCTGGAGAAGGAACGAAACCGAGGCATTGGGAAACCACTGCTAGGAGGGCCCTTCTCACTCGTCAACCATGAGGGACAGCCCAAGACCAGCAAGGACTACATCGGCCAGTGGGTGCTGATCTACTTTGGCTTCACACACTGCCCTGACATCTGTCCTGATGAACTGGAGAAAATGATTGAAGTGGTAGATGAAATTGGTATGGGAATTCGTAGTGGTCCTTTTTATGGGATGTCCAGGTGTGGTAAAATATTGCAAATGGAAATAACTGATGATCTTTTTTTAAAAAATGCTGTTGACTATTATTCAGTAGTTGAATTAATTGCTGAGTGATACATACATTAATCTGCCTACCGCTAGGATCTGATATTTAAAGCATGACAGCACTGATCTTTCCGCAACAGGGGACTTCTTGGTAATAAAACATGATGGTGGCAGGTTACAGGGAATGGTGCCATTGCATTGTATTTTTGCCAAGAAGTGGTTGTGGGGTGTATTAGGGTTTTTTTCCCCTCTATTTTATTAATTCTGAGAACAAATCTCTGTGAGAGTCTCTTCTGAGAGTGACTGTGCTGTGGAATGGAGGTTGGGGGAAGGCTGTCTGATAGAGGTGGTTTTCTCAGCCTGCAGGTCCTGAAGAGTTATAGAGCAGGGATAATAGTAACCAAGCAAGTGGGAGAGCAGACTAAAGTGAAGAAAATACAGTGAAGGCTATGGCTGGAACATGACGGAAAGAGCCTGAATTGTGTCTTCACCTATCTTCCCGCTCCACCATCACAGGCCTGCTTTTGTTGTATTGACCATTGTGCTTTGATACGTGCATCACACCATGGCATTTTCTGCGTCAGAGCCAATTTGTCATCTCTCCTAAGCAGGGCAGGGTCTCCAGCTGAGAGGCTGGAAGTGTAGCTGCACCCAGCACAAGCACAGAGCGTTGCATTTCGTGGCATTTGCTTCATTACATAAATTAAGCTGCACAAAATGGCCTCTTTTTGTCACTTAGGGTGGGCTTGGATTGATGTTTCAGTAGCTTGGCTGTGAGCTTGTTTGAAAGGAGATGAGAAATGATTTTTAGTTTTCTAAGAAAAATAATAGTTGTTGATGTCACAGATAGAATTCCATCTTTGCCTAATCTGACCCCACTCTTCATCACCATTGATCCTGAGAGGGACAACGAAGAAGCCATTGCCAGATATGTTAAAGGTATTACTGTTTTCTTCCTCTATGTCTTATAGCATGTAATATAGAGCACTGAAAAGGAGGCTTTTGATGAGATTCTTTTCACTGAAATGTCTAAGTGTCTTTTTTCTATCTAGAATTTTCTCCGAAACTGATTGGATTGACTGGTACCAAGGCACAGATTAACCAAGTGGCCAAAGCTTACCGTGTGTATTACAGCGAAGGTCCCAAAGATGAAGACAATGATTACATAGTAAGTAAATGTAGGGCCTTACCTAATGAAAGACTTCAGTTAAGAGCAGCATATAGATTTTAAAATCAGAAGGTAGCTGTTGCAATCTGTACTGAAGTCCTACATGACAGAGCCCTGTTGCACTGATGTGTTAAACTGTGTTTTAGAGGTCTCAGTCAGAATCAAGGTGCCCTCATACAAGCTCAGAACCTCACTGCAACATGTTCTAAAAATGTACAATCCCAGGCCTGCATACAGAATAGCATATGAGCTAGCAAGCCTGGCAGTAATTTGAACTTTTTTCTGTTGTGTAATGTTTTTGTCTGGCTGTTCTCCTACGTGCTCCAAAGTGAAAATGGTACTGGGAAATTAAGGCAATAGGAAGAGGGAGAAATGAGAGATAAAAATGAGTAACAACTCATTCCATGCCAAACTGACACCAAGGAGCGGGATCTTCCCTTCCTGCATCCAAGAGACTTGGATGATGCAAAGTCTGCCTGTAGATACTGTGGCGATCTTCCTCCTGTGTCAAATGACCTGGAAGAGAGAGCATGTTAATGCTAAATTAAGTGGGAATAAAATATGTAGAATAACAGCGTGAAGGGGGAAGTTGAGGTTTAAGTAAGGCTAAACTGGGAAGTCAAAATCTTACTCTCTGGAAGTGAATAGGACTGGTTATAGGACTCAGAGCTGCTGCCAAGGCCTTCCTGACTTGCCACATCCTGAGGAGACTGGAAGAGTAAATTAGGCACAAGTGCTATGACAAGTGAGGATTCACGTTATATGATCTTCATGGTTTTTTTCTTCGTTACAAGAACTAAGGGAATCAAGAGAAAATCAAAAAAACAGGTTCAAAAGGAAAGGTGATAGTTCTTGTTGCAATGGGCACATGAGAATGGAATCCCTTGCTACAGATGCAAATGGTAGAAGTTTATGGGAGTCCACAGGGAGACTGGTTGTAAGTCTTTGGAAAAAACAATCTGTTGAGGATTATGAAATGCACAGAAATCTTGCCTAGCTCAGGAAGCCTGTGAGCTAAAAATGTTTGGAAACTGGGAGGTAATAGAGGAAGATAGCATATTTTTGGTGCTGGTTTTATACTCTTCTTTAAAGCAACCATTGTTGGCCACTATTTGAGGTAGGATGCTGAGGCAGATTGGTTTTGGTCTAATTCAGTATTGTCTATTCATCTGTTTTTTAAAACCACCTGACTCTAGCAAATAAATTATCCATGTGGAAAAAAGTTTGATGGAACAAAAAAAGTGTGCATAGAAAGAAACAGCAAGAGCAGCACATGATCTCAGTAACGAGAAGATGGAATCACACTGGTGTTGTGCACTGCTCTACATTACTAAAATGGGTGTGAAGTGAGAGATCAAGAACTTGTTTTCGCTTAAAGTGGCAACTCAATAGCTACGGAAGTCTGTGTCTAAGATACTATATTTGAATGGAGGAGAGAAGCTTACTGGAGAAACTCAACACCAATTTAAATCAATCTAGTATCAGTCTGAAAAAAAATACTGCTTAAAATCAGATTTACGAAAGAGGGCTGGTAGAAATATAAGAATAGGTTATAGGAACAGGATTGGGAAAGGATGCCTGCTCAGGAGGGGAAAAATCAGTAGAATCTGACACTAAATGAGTGAACTGAAGTTGGGGAGAGATGATGGAAGGAGGCCAGAAAAGCTGAAGGAGTGCTGCTCCTTATGAAGTAAACCACACATGGATTCTAGCAAACTACACCTGGATTCTGGCATGGTCATGAAGGGAAAGTACAGGGGATCAGCCAAAGAAAATAACTCTATAGATGACAGCAGCTTCAAGGGAGGCTGGAGGGTGAAACCGAACTCGAGAATGTGACTACAGATGTAATAAAGTAGGAGAAGGGATTCAGGATCCAGGGAGAATACCGCTGGTCTATGCTCAGGTTGTGAGTCTGAGAGAAGGGAAGGGCAGCGAGGAAGAAAGGCCAGTCAGTTGTGAGCAGGAGGGCAGCCTGGGAGCCCCAGACATGGTGCCAAAGAGGAAGAGTATACCTGCATCTCTTCAGGATTTGTCATAGGCTCTTGGTTTTGAGAGGCAGTGAGCTCTATGTGTTCAGGGCAGGAAGGCCAGAGGACACAGGTCTCTGAAACAAAATGGAAAGAGGATAGCAGCAATAGCAGACCTGGGAGGGAGAGCTTGAGGCTGGTTTTGTGCCTACCTGAGACTTATCCAGGTAATTACTACTCGGTCATTTCTTCCAGTAAGGCTTTTTTTTTCCTCATTATGTCTTGCATGGACCTGTCATGCCAGTTGGTGATTAAGACTGACGTTTGTGCAGGAGCGGGTTCTGTTTCCTCTACAGGCTGCTGGGAGGTGGGGAAGGGGAAGAGGTCCGCTACAGGCAATTAAGCTTTGCTGCTTGTTTTGACTTGAAAAGAGCATTGAGATGAGCATTTAGAAATTATAATTTCTAAACATCTGGTTTTCAACTATTACTTGAATATTACTAGATTTAATAATCTCAATTTTATAATTCTCAGTACCAGAATATCCAATTTACTTGGTTTATTCTGTGGTTTACATGATTGCATTGAATCTCAAATGATGATCTTATGTGCATAGAGTAGGAACAGTGCAGGCTTCAGGCACAGCTTGAAAAACAGTGGTCTTTTACACACAAACTGCACGCCATCCTGACTGTATTTAATGTTCCATAGGCTGGGAGTTAAGGAACTCTGAGCAGGCTACCCGATTTTTCTTTTTTTTTTGCTAGTTTCCAGCTGAAGGATCTAAATTGTGATTCAGATTCCTTAAAAAAATTGTCTCCTACAACTTGATTTTGTGATCTTATATTGAAAATTTGAAACTAGAGTAAAATATTTGAATTAAACCTGCTTCAATAAAATTTTCAGAAACATTCTTTTAATGGCAGAACTGCCATTAAGTTTAATGCATCCTTTAAGCTTGTGGTACTGGAAATGTTTAGGTGATTTCTTAATTTCAAACACAGTTGTACTCTCAGTGCATAAGTACATTTCAGTTCTTTTTCTCCAGTGGCAGTGAGATGATGTAGTCACTTGAGCAATCACAGATTCAGGGCCTCCATTTTCAGTATTTCATCTTTGCTCGTAAAGATGTTGTCACAGTTAGATGCAGACAGTACTTGCAGTGGCATTTTAAATAAATTTACAGTGGAGTTAACTTTTATATAAATCAAATTGGAATACCTCGAATGTTCAAGTAATTGTTACTCTGAACATTTTTTTAAGGTTATTTCAATTCGGACAGTAGAGGGAGCCCCCTCCCAGCACACAGATTTCTCTCTGTGCCAGCTCCTCTATCTGCAGCTCCTGTATCCCAGCGGTGCTCTTGGTCCCATTGTTTGCACTGACAGTGAACTTGTTTTAATGAAATACCTCTGTTTATATTGGATTTACATCATATTAGCAGCAGGAGCTTGAATACCTTGTGGGGGTCACGGAGCATCATGAGAAGTCGAGGGAAACTGGGAAAAGTGAGGGGGAAAGACCATTAGCCCCCAAGTCTGCCCCAGCCTTGTCTGTGCTGCAGGAAGGGTGCCAGCAGCTTAGGGAAGACTTGTCTGCTTAAAGGATTCCTTCACACATTCTGAGTATGCAACTAGTTTTCTCTATGTATTTTCTTGCGTAAAACAAGAAGAGGTCGCCGAGGTGACACTAAGGTTTTCCTTACCTTGCTTTAGCTTCTTGGTGAGAATTCTGGTCAGACAGCTGAACCAAAGGCTGAACGGGACACTGTTGCTGCTGACTTTGAGAGATGTGCAGGATGTTCCAGTATTTAAAGGGTGCCTACAAAGAAGATGGAGACTCCCTTTTTACAAGGAGTCACATGGAAAAGATGAGGGGTAATGCATACAAGTTACTCCTGAGGAGATTCTGGTTGGACACAAGAGGAAAATTTTTCACAATGAGAACAATCAGCCATTGGAATAATCTCCCCAGGGAAGTGGTGGATTCCCTAATGTTGGACACTTCTAAGATTTGGTTGGACAGGGTGCTGGGCCATCTTGTCTAGACCATGCTTTTGCCAAGAAAGGTTGGACCAGATGATCCTTGAGGTCCCTTCCAACCTAGTATTCTATGATTCTATGATCTTTTTTACGAAGCCACGATGTGCTCTCTTACAGGTGGATCACACAATAATAATGTACCTCCTCGGGCCAGATGGTGACTTCGTGGACTACTATGGCCAGAATAAGAGGAGCACTGAGATTTCTTCTTCTATTGCTGCACACATGAGAAAATACAGATCCTAAAACACAAGGTCTTCAGAGATTGGTGTGAACATCACCTGTAATTGGGCATTGGAGTTAAAGCAGAAGCATACAAGTGTAACATCCTGTCACCACGTGCCTCCTTTCTCCCAAATAAGAGAGGCAACCATACTTCTGCAAAACACCATTATATCTATAGTGCCTTCCCCATGGATATTATTTGCAGCAAGATCTAGGCTACAGAATGAAATTTGGGACTTCTCTGAAACATTGTTGGGAGCAAAAAATGGAAAACACTTTTCATTTGGGAAGAACGTGCGTTTCACTGGTAAAATTAATTTGTATCTCAGCAAAGGACAGTCACTGCAGGAGGATGATTACTTGATGAAAAGCCATGTGGGCCATGGCATTCTCAAAGGACCGCTGCCCTCTTTTTTTTCTGCACTGTTTTGCCTTCAGTGGGAGGCAGTTACAATATTTATTATAAGCAGGAGAGCCTTAAGAGTACTTCTTTATCAAGTTTAAGAAGGTGAAGAACACTGAAAGCATCAGCAGCTTCCATGCATGGGACCAGCCCTGTAGTGTGCCTGATCACTTCTTCATTTGAATGCAGAAATGAAATGGGTTTTTCATGGTGATTTTTCCGGGTGAACACTGTTAACTTACAAGGAAATGACGAATGGGTTGCAAATAGATTTTTCTTCTGGTCTAATTGATTTTATGCATAGTCAGTCTGTTTGTGCTATGCTGAATAGTGAAGTGGGGAAGATGAAGGGGATCTGTGTCCATGCTATCAATCAGATAAATTTTATGCAGTGCAGCATTTGAAAATAAAGATTGCTTTGTATAAGCAATAAAATTTTTTTTTTCTTAGTTAGATTTGGTTAGAATATCATCAGAACTTTGGATACTGGTTAAGCTTCATATTCTTGCACTGTTTTATCTCTTTTTAGAAAGTAGTGTTTATCTATAGTAGTGCAAACCATAAGCTGAGTATGCTTTTTTAAGGTAGCTGAACCCCAGATAATGGCCCACAAAACAGGAGACAAAACAGAAAAGTTCTTGGTGCAAGTCCCAGAGTGTTTCAAACTGAATACAAGTGTTCCTGCTGGTAGCACTGGCATTCTTCTGAGTGTGGAGCTTGGAAGAGAATGTTTTTGTCTGAGGGAAGGTGCAATGTCTATGGTAAATTTCCATCTTTCCGAAATCCTGAAAAACAGTAAACTTAACCTGTTCCAGAGCAGTTATAAAACATGATAAAGTAGTGTAGGTCCACATCAGCTGCTCTATACTATGGTGACCTCCTGAGGGTATCAGGAAGGTTATTGTGGTAGAGTATGTCTTAAGACTGCACTCTTCTGATAAAGCTCTGCCCTCTCTCTGATAAAGATTCCTGAAGTTCCAAGATATATCCCCCCCCCATCTCAAATACTAGATAGTTTAAAGAAGGGGTTTTTTCTGTTTTAAAGGATCAGCAAGAATTTTTCTGTATCAGTGTACAGTGGGAGTTTTAAAAAGTGTGTTAGTAGAATTAACAGCTGAAAAGGAAGTTAATTCTTTTTCCTCCTTGTGCTGGCTGGCTTGATTGCAGTAGGCAATAGGAGTGGTTTCCAAAGGAAATTTCACACTTTAAGTTTTCTACCAGTTAGAGGCTGTGCCAAATCCAAGGTGTTATCAATAATATTACTGTCTGTGTTAAGTGGCACCCTGGCAACAATGATTTTATTTTCATGGAGTGGTTTTGAGTGTCCGCATTGTTTCTAAAGAGCCTTTCCTCACCTTTTATTTTTCTCCACAATCCTGGAGGTAATTTATTTTCAAAACTTTCCTTACAGAGCTGACTTTTGGCATCTACTAACTCTGCTTTTCTTTATCCGGGTGGCTGTGCACCAGTTCATTTTGAAACAAGACAGGCCATGGCTTGACCTGCTGGTGATAGTCCTGTGGGAAGCTGGGCTGGAGACCTCTGGAGCTCCCTTCCAACCAGCACTTCTGTGCTTCTGTGAAATTTGTCTTGTTGAGACTGTACTCACTCAGTGCTCCATGCTGCACTGTTCCAGATGAGTGTGTGCCTGTTTCCTTTTTTCATCGTGATCTTTACCAAGGAAAATCACCTCCTTTTTGAACTTCTGATGCAGTTGTTTTGAAGATGACTTGTGCAATACAGTGCATTAGGATATAGAAAGTGGTAAATTATATTTACCCGCTCTTGTGATAAAAGCAACATCGAAATACCATCTCCTTATGGGTTTCAGTGACCCAACACTGTGGCCATTCAATAGGGTCAATCTGTAGTGGACAAATTGTGCATATTAACTGGTAACGAACAGAAACGAGCAGCGAGTACTGCTAGTGGAGACGGTGTGGAGAAGTGCAGGCCTGTGCAACTTTTTTTAATGCCCTCTCATGTGCTCTAAGTCTCCAAGTTCTTATTTGCCTTACTTGCATTGGGGAAATACTTTTTTTCCTTTTTGAACAAGTCAGAAATAATCTGAATATTTTCCTTGGGCGTGGTGATAGGGGGAATTGTCCTGCCTGTCTCACTGTTTCTTCTGTATTAAAGAGTCCATTCTTCTCTGTGTTTCTGTTCTGTTTTTCATGAAAGTACTGATGTAGAAGACCTGGTGGGAATGTGACTAAGAAATGGAGCAGCTGATCTGGGAGGATACTTTTTTGCCTCTTTAAAGTCTATTTGTGCTTCTCTTGATAACTCCCAAGCGCTTAAGATACCCTGTGGAGAAAAGATGAATTTTAATACTGTAATTTGAATCTTTAGGCACTGAAAAGACTCATAATACATGTTTTTCAGCCATATCTGTCTTCCAAAAGGAATGGGAAAGAGACAATATTTCAAAGCGGAAAATGCAGCAGGTTGATCATGGGGCTAAGGGAGAGAGAGGGTGTATTTATTTAAAACGCATTTTACTTAACTGACCACTAAGTAAAGGAGTGGTTCAGATTTGATGTATGCGGTAGCCTCTGCCAGGAACAGGGCTTGGCCTGGGGACCCGTCTCTTCTGGTGGTGTGTGGGATCTCCATCAGCAGCGGTCACCGAATTGCCAGGATTGCGTATTGTGCCATGTGGGGTTCCCCCCTGCCGTGCCAGTGTGCAGCCTCCTGGGACTGAGACTTTCCTTTGTGTTTAGGGTCTCTTATTGCCCCTCCATTTTTCACAGGGGAGCGTGTGTGAAAAGCATGGCAGTTTCCTTGGGTCTTCCCCTAAATCACTGTGCTGATGGTGTTTTGCATATAATGGAAGCATAGAAGGGGCATGTGCATGCAGCAGGAGGTGGTTTAAAGGGAGTGGGTTTAACTGATGTAAAGGAGACACTCATGCAAAAATGTCATGAGAGGGCCTAGGCAGATGGGTTGCTTGGCACAGTGATCTGACCAGTAGGTTCTGGTCAGTTGTTACTGGCAGCAGGAAAGAAATAGTGAAAAATTGACTCCTGTTCCTGAAGGATTGCTGGATAATGGTAAATTGCTGTTTAACACCTACTGCTCGCCTCATATCTGTGCAACAAAAACTGACTCTGTAATGAAGTCAGTCATACCACAAGTCATACCCTTTTTTCTGTTGTGTGACTCCACGTTACATCTCTCTTGCATTTTTACATACATTAAATACCCGGTCTCTGGACAAAACTGGTTTTCATGGGTGACACCTTTAGGTCTGTATTTCTTTATTTGACCACTCGTGAGTTGTTTGTGACTGTGGAGTCTCCACGGCCAAGTCTCTGCCCCATCTCTTATCATCCCGTGGCTGCACTTCTCTACACAGCATCCTTTGTCTGCACTTCTCAAGTCTCTGCTGTCATATCAGGCTTGTAATTCTTTATATTGCATCAGTATGTTAGTGACAAATACCTTATTCTGCACAGAGAACAATCTGTGTAAAACTAGGGTTGTATGAAGCAATGGTAACTAAAATTAAAATAAATTAGCCAGAACCACCTGCTCAGAAGAAAGAATTGGTGTTACAGCTAAGCCAAGTTAAAACAAAGTAGAAGTCAGTAGAAATTCGCATGAGGCAAGCCTGCCAAGCCTCTGTCCTGAGGCTTTGTGAACTCGGTACAAAGCCTGTGGGCTGCAGCGTGTCAAGGATCACCCTATCTACATTTATTTCCCTAAAGCTAATTTGCAGCTGACTCCTGCTACAGAGACAAATGTAAGATTTCTGTCTTCTCCCAAGTGTTTTGGCTTAAATATCATGTCCTTTAACTTGTTTTTATGTGCCTTGAAAGGCAGAGCGAGCTGACATGGGAAGCTTGTGGCAGACTGGGGGGCCTGTGGGAAGGGCACAGAAAGATTTAGGATGGAGGGACGAGCCTGTGGGCCACATCTCAGCACACGAGCATGTGCCTTGCCTCCTGGCAGTGGGAGCAGCTGATGTCCTGCTTCTTTCTGCCTCTCAAATTGACCCTGCCCATCTCTTTTCCCTTGGCCTTTCCCAGGAGGGAAACTTTCTTTAGAAGTGAGGGGTTTTTTTGTTTGTTTAAGAAAAAAAAATCTGTGGTTTAGGCAACTGTTAGGCTTTCACATCCCTGCCTTGGTGACAGCAGGGAGCGCAGCTCTGTTCCCTGCATGTTTAGGAGGAGCAAGGGCTGTGCTGAATGCTCACCAGGAGGAGGCAGAGCTGTTCAAGGGGTGGATATGTAGTGGGGGAAAGAGAATATGCTGGGGGGGCTTGGAGACCCTTTGTCAGTGGATCTCCAGTATTTCTTCAGTATTAGAAATAGAGCAAACTCCCCCTGTACTCATCATACCCAAATGCCATGTAGCCCAGAGTGCAGTGCCCGGCCCACAAAGAGGGAGCTCAGGTCTGGCAAAGGAAAGTTTACGACAGGACTCCTTGCTTGTGGCTGTGCTGAGTGCTGGACTGGGGCCAAGGGGTGCCTGGCTCCCTAAGCAGGTGTCCCCTGTGGAAACTTCACCGGACTACAGGTTTCTCTTAAGAACCAAATCTGTTGGAGTCTGGTGGTGTGAAGGTGAACCTCTGTAACCTCAGGCAAATGGGGACCCCTGAATACCCTGTGGACAGACAGACAATAGAGTACAAACCTGGCAGAGGCCAATCCACAGAGCATTGCTCTGTGTGCCCACGCCCAGCCCCAGCCTACTTGTCCCATAAAATACTGGTGGAAAATAGCGTCTCTTCAGAGCAGCTGGCATCTGTAATACCGACTGCAGAGCTGATGCCACCCCAGGCTGGGGACTAGTGACAGGATGTCTGAGGAACGAGGGATGGCTCCATTTGTCT